AACTATTAGAAACTAGAGACTTTGATAACTAGAGACATTTGAAGTGCAGGAAACCCTCCACCCCCTGGGGACTAAGTCGATTGACGAGGTCTTTGCCTTGCTTCATCTCTCTCCCACTGTGACTGATGGCTGCCTTCGGTTGCCCTCCCCTTCCCAAGCCCCGCACTCCTCAGGCTCCACCTCCCCCAAATCTCCAGGTATTTCCCAATCCAGAGCTGGCGACCCTACCTCTGTGGAGGGAGAGTGACTCTAACTCTTGCACATTCCAAACATTTTTAAATGGACGAGAGACATAGTCACGTCTTAATTTTTTTTAAAGATGGGTGCCTCAGGTTTCAGATGTTTCAGAAATGCTGGTTTTATGTATCAATAGAAAATAGAAAATCAAAGATGGGCATTTGTAATACAAAAAAAAAAGGCCTTCTGGCTAATGTCCAATTTATATTCACATTACGAAAACCTGAATGAAACAAGAGTCATTTAAGTTTCAACCTTGTTGAAGCTCTAGGCAGTTTTTGGAATTCTGAGAAAGGGTAATGGGTGACACAACCAAATGGCCGCCATCTGGGACAATTGCAAAGCATTGAGGAGTCCCAAGGCAATCATCTTTCTTTGATGGGGGAGCTGTTTCTGAATGGGCAAAATGAAAAAAAAAGAAAATAAATTATCCTATGAAATTGTGTGTGGAATGGCCAGGAGATCCCCAGGGGGGTGGTTTTACTGCGGAAGCTGTAGCTCTTTTCTGGCGCCACTTAAGTGGTGAGCTTTACCTATTTTTTAGACGGAGAGTGCTGTGACTTGCCTAAGGTTACCCAGCTAGTTTCAAGTGGGGGAATCGAACCCAGTTCTCCAGATTAGTCTGACACTCTTAACCACTACACCAAACCGGCTGAACAGGCACTGGCTGCAGACACAAAGCGGATAACTCCTGAGCTCTTCTTAAGCCCTTCCTCCTCTAATGAGCTCCAGGAAAGGCAGGACTGACTATCTGCTTTGGGGAAGATACAAGTGAGTATCAGGAAACACACTGGTGGGCCACATGGCACCCATGAGCACCACACTGGGGGAATCACTGCCCTAGGAAGTCCTCCAGTGTGCCCCAAAACACCTTTTCCTCCATACCCTCTCCCTTTTTCCTGTGTGTTTTTAAACTGAACATCCAAGCTTGTGAAATGTTATCGGGAACTTAATAGCTTGCCTGCTGTGTTGTCTGATAGGAGGAGGAAGAGGAGAAGGAGGAGGAGATTGGAATTATACCCTGCCCTTCACTACCCGAAGGAGTCTCAGAGCAGTTTACAATCTCCTTTCCCTTCCCCTCCCCACCACAGACACCCTGTGAGCAATGCTCCCTCTAAGCTGTGGAGTCTTGTGAGCCACAAAATCTACTTTGTGAGCGACTGGCATTAAAGTCGTGAGCGAGCGATTTGGCTACTGCTTAAATTAGTTTGCTCTGGAGCCCTCCTTCCTGAGCTAAGACAAAAATGTGTGAGCCGGAGGCTAAAAGACTGTGAGCTAGCTCACACTCACTCAGCTTAGAGGGAACACTGCCTGTGAGGTAGGTGGGGCTGAGAGAGCTCTCTCAAGAACTGTCCTTGAGAGAAGCAGCTCTGAAAGAACTTATGACTGACCTAAGGTCACACCAGCAGCTGCACGTGAAGGAGTGGGGAATCAAGCCCGGTTCTCCCAGGTTAGAGTCCGTGCTCCTAACCACTACACCAGACTTATTAAAAGGTGTCACACAGCTGTTATTTGTAGAATTTCTCTATGGGCCAACCATTTTTAATTCAGTGGGGAATGTGCAGCTCTCCCCCACATGCACCTGAGTCCGTATCTCACTGGCAGGGCACATGGTTTGAATGCATGGGTTCTCTCCTGGGCAACTCCAATTACAAAGTCGCTCGAAAGGAAAAAGAAGAGCCGCTTACCATCTGCAGACTTCGCTGATGCCCTGCTGGAGACAGAGGAGACAGCATTAGGGGGGTGATCAGAGATAGTGATCTTTACCTGTCTATCGCCATGGTAAAAAAAGAAAACTTAAAAGGGGGCTTCCTCACAGCCTTTTTCACTGGCAGTAGGTTTATGGTAGACAAAAGCACATAATGCATCATTAGCATATAGAGTTAATTGCCACAAGATAAGGGGATGACTTTAATGGGGGATTAGACAAATTCACCAAGGATCAGTCTATCAGCAGCTAAATGGAACCTCCATATTCAGAGGCAACCTATCTCTGGATGCCAAACAGTAGGGCAAACAATAACAAGCGGCCACCACCTTCCTGCTCTGGTTCTGGGCTTCACTGAAGCACAGGGCTGTCCGCTGTTAAAGGGCTGGATTAGGCAGGCCTGGGCCAGGTCCACCAAAGGAATTCTTCCAGTCTTAGTTTTTGACTGGGCTCTCAGGGTATCTTTCCTTCATGCATAAATAGCCACAGTCTGTTCCCATCAGAACAGGAGATTGGGAAGAGGAGCTTCCAGAAAGATTAGATTCCTAGCACTCCTCTTTTTGAGGAAACAGCTACTGTGCAACTCATTACATGCCACACAGCAAACAGCCTTTGCTTTATTGTAGGGGCAGCTTCTCATGTATGCTTGGTGTTCCAGGCTCCACGTGTTTTGGCGTGCATGATGCTCAGTCGTGTGCATGCATTCAAAGTACAGGTGCAAGTTCGAAGTGCGTGCTTCCACAGATTTGTGTTACCTCACCTTTAAACAGAGCACATTATTTAATTATAAGGTGGGAAACGATCTATCACGTCCTCCTTCAGTGTCATACTGTCAAAGACACGTTGTCAGAAGTCATTGCGTTAGCTTTCCCCTCCCTCTCGTCACAAGATGATTTTTTTCTCTTAGTCATGTTAAGGTGAAATCCTTGTCAGAGGGGTTGTGGCTTAGTGGAAGAGCCTCTGCTTTGCATGCAGAAGGTTCCAGGTTCAGTCCCTACCATCTCCAGTCAAAAGAGCCAGGTAGTAGGTGCTGTGAAAGACCTCTGCCTGGGACCTTGGAGAGCCACTGCCAGTCAGTCTAGGCAGTCCTGACCCTGATGGACCAAGGATCTGATTCGGTATAAGATAGCTTCATGTGTGTTGAAGAAGAAGAAGAGGAAGAGGAAGAAGAAGAAGAAGAAGAAGACTTTCCCTATTTACCTGAAGGAGTCTCAAAGTGTCTTACAATCAAATCCCTTCCTCTCCCCACAGCAGGCACCTTGTGAGGTAGGTGGGGCTGAGAGAGCTCTGAGAGAACTGTGACTGGCCCAAAGTCACCCAGCTGGCTTCATGCGGAGGAGGAGAGGGGAATCAAACCCAGTTCTCCATCCAGTTCGCCGCTCTTAACCACTACAGCACACTGGGTATCTTTTAGATGCACATTTTTTAGCATAGGAAGGTTCCCGGTTCAGAGGTACCCTGCTTCACCACAAAAACACTTCCTTGCCATCTTTCTCTTGTCTCCACCCAGCACAGTCACTTTCCCCATTGGTCCCCCATTGCTCCACACATAGTTGTGGCGTGGGCCCTCTGGTAAGGTTATACATCTGGCCTTTCTTCCATGACTCTGCTGTCAGGTGACTTGCTGTCATAAGCCAGCAGCTTGGCAAGTCCCATGCCACAACCTGGGGATTCAAGTTTTGCCCCAGTTTTATTTTTCGGGGGGGGGGGGAGAAATGAAAGACCACTGCTCATGGTTGCCAACTTTCAGGTAGGGTCTGGAGTTATCCTGCATTTACAACTGATCTCCAGGCTACAGAGATCTGTTCTCATGAAGAAAATGGCTGCTTTGGAGGGTGGATTCTATGGCATAGGGTTGCCAGGTCCCACCACCATCACCACTGGCAGGGGATGAAGGGGTAGGGTTTCCCCAGGTTGGGAAACTCCTGGAGATTTGGGGATGGAGCCTGGTGAGGACAGGGACCTCAGTGGGGTTGTACAGTGCCATACAACCCACCCTCCAAAGCATCCATTTTCTCCAGGGGAACTGATGTCTGTAGTCTGGAGATGAGCTGTAATCCCGGGGGATCCCCGGGTCCCACCTGGAGGCTGGCAACCCTAAGTACCATATTGATGCCCCCCAAAACCCTGCCCTCTCCAGGCTTCACCCCCAAAGTCTCCAGGCACAACCCAGAGCTGGCATACATATGCACTGTTTTGGGGGGGACAGTTGAACCACCGTAATCTTAAGGAAGGGAGGCTTACTTAGTGTGTTTCTGGTAGTAGCCATGTTGGCCTGAAGCAGCACTACAAAGTTTGAGTCCAGTGGCACCTTTAAGACCAAAGTTTTATTCAAGGTATACACTTTCAAGTGCAAGCACACTTCCCCAGAACGTAATGTATTTCTATTCCGCTTTTCACCTAAACGTTCTCTCTCAAAACATCTCACTGCGGTCAGAACCTAACACAAATGACACTGTTCGACACAAGATCTCCCTCAAAGAGAGGACTCTCAGCTGAGCTAGATTGCTGCATAGTGGCTTGGCTGCTTCCTGGTCTCTACCCCTTGGCCGCTACCTGCCCTCTAATTATGCGTGGGGTGGCGAGAGAGTTGTCAAAGAGAAATTTTTCTCCCTCTCCCAAAATGCTAGAACTCAAGGGCATCCAATTAAGCTGATAGGCAGTAGGCTCAGGATGGACAGAAGGAAATACTACTTTGCAACAGGGAGTGATTCAAATGTGGAATTCGCTGCTAGAAGATGTAGTGATGGCCACAGGATTAAAAGAGGATTAAAAGAGGATTAGATAGATTCATGGAGGAGAGGTCTATCAATGGCTACTAGCTATGGTGACTGAGGGGAACCTCCACATTCAGAGGCACTAAACCTCTGACTCCCAGAGCCAAAAGGCAACATCAGGGGAAGGCCTCTAAGCCCTGTTGTTGGCCCTTCAGAGGACCTTGTTGGCCACTGTGAGATAGGCTGCTGGACTAGATGGACCACTGGTCTGATCCAGCAGGGCTTTTCTTTTGTACCTGATAGCCCTATTGACAGCAGCATAACTATTTATTTATTTATTGTATGGCAGAGTTACACACAGGAAGCATATAATAATATAAAATATGTAACCAAGTTGATACAATGGGTATGCAGACTGATTGGGCAATCCTCCTAAATACTAATATTTAAATTTTCAATCCACTCAGTCACAGCTGGGAAGAGTTCAAAGAGCTCCATCACATCTCCCTGGAAAGCACAATGCTCACATTCCTGTGACAGATGGAAAATAGTTTGGCGGGCTGAACCACAATCACATTTGAGCCCTGGTATTCTGCCCCATTTAAGCAACAGGTCCGCACAACTGTCAAAGCCTGTTTGTATTCTATTAGCCATCTTCCATACTTTACATGGCAAGTCAAATCCTGCAGGCCTCTCATTGGTGTTTTTCAGGTTATGGATATCGGGTGGAACTGATTGCATCCATGTTTGCAACCATTCATTCCCTAGATCAAAATTTTGTGGTTGCAGGATTTGTGCAGATCTTATTGCTGGGTGTCGGGATCTTAGTCTGGATAGGCCCCCATCAGCCATGGCTTTGTGGATGGGCAACTCTCTGTTTTCAATGATCTTTCTATATTCACAAAGAAGAGCACCTTGTCTTCGGAGATGTGAGGGAGCAATGTGGCACAACATGGGTAGCTAGTAGGTCGGAGTGGGTTTAATACATCCACTGATGGTTCTCATTGTTGTCAACATATCTGACAACAGTAATAAGCTGGAAATTACACGCTTGACTCAAAGATCTTTGCATGACATTTATCTAGACATGTTGTCACAACATCCAAATTATCCTAACATGGGCAAGGCTGTTATTACGACAAACTGGTGGCACTGAGTGACCTAACTGAAGGGCAGAGAGGACCAAATGCACATTTCTGAAAACCCGGCAAACATCTGTCTCTAACAAGGATGCCCTACTTATCAGTCCTGTGTCTGCTTCCAAATTATAGCCCACCTTTAGGAACCCCAGATTATGTATGGGGATCCCTCTGAGAGCAGAGAGAATGCCAACAGGGGGCCTTCCGCTCTCATGGCATTATACACCCTTTGGGTGGCAGATTTTGTGACACTATGAAAGGGAGTTTTACTCCACCATGGAAGTCATGATTTGTAGGAGTTTGTAGGAGCTCTCCTGCTCCTGTAGCCTGATGGATAGGTCTGGTTTTCAGATGGCATTAGGGGATTTTCCTGCAGATATTTATAAAATATATAAATGTTTTGTATACAGTCTATTTAAAAGGCTGTTTTCATGTCTTGAGGTTTTAATGCTTTGGTGTACACTGCCTGGGAGACCTTTGTTTGGGTGGCATGACAGAGAAATGTTTAAAATAAAATAAATCCAGACCTAGAACAGCATAGCTTTGGGAAGGATGGTGCATCATTTGCTTTCAGGCTTTCCTCTGGCTTGAATATGTGGGTGAGAGCTAGTCTGTTTTCCATTCCAGGCAGAAAAAAGTCTTTCACTGGTCTTAGATGCCTCTTCCTTCAACAAAAGCACAGGGGCCCTTTGCCATAATAAACCTGGCTGCCTTCTGTACAAGACACCATCTGGCCCCTTAGCTGTGCTTATTTTATGTGGAAGGTGGAGAGATTCTCCTCGTCCCTCTTGGAGGAACTATTTCAGAAAGGCTACAATCAGAGACAGTAAAGCCACGCTTTAAGTCTATCATGTAAAAACAGCAAATGTGTATGTGCTTAATCTTCATGCTTTGAGCAGGTAGGATTACCAACTTCCTGAAGAAAAGTGTCTTATAATAATAATAATAATAATAATAATAATAACAACAATAACAACAACAACTATTAATAATAATAATAATGAGGAGGAGGAGATTGGATTTATACCCTGCCCTTCACTACCCGAAGGAGTCTCAGAGTGGCTTACAAACTCCTTTCCCTTCCCTTCCCCTCCCCACAACAGACACCCTGTGAGGTGGGTGGGGCTGAGAGAGCTCTAACTGTCCTTGA